TCCTCGAAGGGAGCCGGCTTCTCAAGCCCAAGGGTTTGAGCGTCATACACCTCGGTGGCGTACTTGTACCTTAGCTCGAAAAACACCCATTTGGTGTCCGGGTGGATGAGGGTCCAGGCCATTTTCATGCGAGCCTCGCAGTCCCGCTCATTCTTAGCAACCAGGCGGTCCTGCTCGGCTTCCAGCTTGGCTTTGTGATCAGCCTGCGTCTGGGCCAGCTTGTTCTTCAGCCGGGAGACGTTTGCCCTCAGTTGGGTGTTCTCCTTGTCGGCATCCCCCAGAGCTTTGACGTCCGCCTGGAGGTTTTTAACTTGTAGCTCAAAATCGGCCGCCTTCTTGTTGGTCGTTTCAGTAGTCGCCGTGAGCTCCTTCATTTTCTCCTCCTATTTCATCTCCCAGCTTTGTATTTCATACATTAAAGTGTTGTATTGAGTAACGTCAATAAGGTCAGTCGCCTGCCTATTGGCGTCTCTTACCTCCTCCTGCTTCTTCCTCAAGGGAACCTTGAGGCCGTCTACTCTTAACATCACCTGCAAAACCAGCTGGAAAAGGGTTAGTCTCTCAATTATGTTACAACCGGCAAAAAAGTAAATTGTACGAAAGCACCCCAACCAGCCAATTACCTCAGCAAGCAGCGAGTTGATGCGATCAATGTTGACCTGTTGCACACCCGGCACCGCCTCCTTTTCGGACCGGGTGAGCGTCCTCAGCATCCTCTTGGCATATTGTTGGAGGTCAGGCCAACAAGAAGAGGCATATGCATCAACAGATTTATTTGTTAAGTATTGAGCATAGGCGGCACCTAAATTCTGCCGGCTACCTGAAGAATCCCCTGATTGGGTAGTTTGGGACTTGACTCGCATAGGCCCAAGCGGCGGCCAGGGGGGATCAAAGGTAAAAGCCATACCTTCATTTTCAGGTTGAGGGGTCATCCTACCCCCAGCCGCATTGGAACCGGTCGCTACAGCAAGCGGCCGGCTTGAGGGAGTTTCAGGCTCCCTCGTCTCAACCTCAATCGGCCCTGTGTTTAGGCCAAGGTCTTTCAGGCTTCTACTTGCTGAGGTGGGCCTTCCAGGCACAGGCGGCCTTCCGGAAGAGAGAGGGGCACCCGGAGTCCTCCTAGACTTGGAAGGAGGCTGGGAGGGCTCCTCGCTCGGTCTTTTCAGCATCTTAGTTAGGGAGCGAGGAACATTCTTGCTCCCCGTCTGAAAAAGAAATAAAGCAACCGGTTAATATCAGAATTGACATCAAACTATACAGACGGTAATATCAGCCGGAGCTTATCCCATCATCCTTGGCCGCCAGTTGGGCCCTTTTCTTCTCTAACTGATCCTTCCAAATCTGAGCAGCCGATTTAGCGGGTGTCTTTTCTGGAGGCACCATCTCTAATATTTTCTCTGCCAAGAAGAAAATCAAAAAGTCAAAATCCGTTCAAGCATGATACAGACGGCATAAGGTGCCGGTTATCAGTGAGCATACGTCTACTAAACATTGTGCTAAGGCCACAGGCGGAAAGGAACGCCTCGTCCTTTAGCCAGTCCGGATGAGGGACCCAGTTCTTAAGGACAATGACTTCAGTCCCATCATCCAAAGGCAGGGAGGTCTTCTTAAAGAGCCTCGTCTCCATTATTTGCGTCCAAGCCTCTTCCAGTACTCTAGGAAAGGCGCATTTCTTCCCAAGGAGAGCCGGGTGCTTATTGTAGTAACGCAGCCGGTGGTTTAGACGCAATGATGGGGAAGAGACCAAGTAAAACTTGCTCTTCCAGCTGCTCCACTTTGACGGCTTGTTAAGCGGCATCATGTATTCCGGATGCGTGGTCAATGTATACCACGCATTCCAGCCGCCTGGGGCACGGCTGAGGTAGTGCATATGTACAAACGCCTCCCAGCTAGGCGTTATGTCCTGCATCTCGCAGGAGGCAATGTATCCTAATATATTCACCCAAGAATTGGGTGTCAACTGCCAAACGCCAAGGTCGTAGCCTCTTAGAATGGCATTTATTATATTATGGAGGGGGAACCGGAGGCCGGCTTTGAATGCCGCTTCATAACAGCCGAAATAGTCGACGGCATGATCAAGATCGTCATCCCAGACAACAGTTGCCTCTACAGGCGGCACCACAATTTCCCATCCTACCCTAACCGAGCGCTTCTGTAAAAATCCGGGTAAGGTAGCGTTTAGAGTGAGCACATCCCTGGCGGTCATGTGTGCCTCTGTTGGATTATTGATGGAGGGCCATTTATATGCCTCCTCATCCTCTTGGGGGGCATCCGGTTCCATGGTAGACTCTAAAGAGTTTGATTGTTGGACGGTCTATTCACCGCCTATTTCCTCGGACTCTTCCAAGATATCATCATTGGGTGTGCTAGGTACACCCGGATGGTCATAATGTACAATGTCATCCGGAGCTTCGGCTGAGCCGTCTGATTGGTATTCGGGGTCTACAACCGTCCGTCTCATCCGAGCTATTCTGTCCTGCACATGAACAGAGACGGTCGGATTCGCAGAATAGTAAGGGTGTTCCAAACACCCACAGACGGCATCCCCAGTCCTAGACTCAGCCGTATCCGGTGACCGGCTGACAACTGTCCTAGGTCGTGCCGTGTGTGTGTTGGGTGAGTCCATTATTCTTTACAAGCTATACAACCGGAAAAAACTCAAAAAGTTGCAAGAGGTAGAGACGGTACCTTGAAGATGCTTTGAGTGTGGGGAAAGTTGGTTATCTGGATTTGCAGCCGGAAATCTCTGTGTTGTTTGCTAGATACCCAGACGGTTGCCCGGATGTACCCACTTGAAGAGCAACTGTAAATTGTTGAACAACCCAAATGTTCCTCTGAAGCGTTGCTTGATGATACCCCAGACGGTTGACCGGCTGTGGGTGTATTGAAAACAAAGGGAATCAATCCAGGGACCTCAGGCGGTTTTAATGTGTTTTGGGTGATGAGCACTCAGACGGTAGCCGGTTGAGTGAAGGAAAGAAAGACGGTTGGGCTAAACTAGCAGCTGGTATCAGAGCTCTCTCTTTCTCAGAAAAATTTCTCAAAAAATTGCAAAGTGTGAAAATGAGGGGAGGGAGTCTCTACTTATAGAGAACCCCAGAGGCGAACCGTCACCTTCCAAATTCAAATTCGAATTAAAAAAAAAAAAAAAAAAAAAAAGGAGACGAAACGTCACCTTCTCAGGCATGACACCTGTGAGGGGCAAATGTTTAGGGTAAAAATACCCCTGTCCACGTGGACCAATCGTGTGCTGACACGTGTCAGCAACAGAGGGGTTATGAGAGAACCAATCCTCTAGTGACACGTGACACTCTGACCTATGAAAGGGGAACTGATCCCCTCACACCATAAATAGAGGAAAATCCTTATTTATTACATATTCATAAATATACACACAAAACTCGAGCAATATTAATTGCAGAATTCTCTCGGAATCCAAGAGAAAAAACCTTTACATTCCTCACTTTTACATGCGGATACGTTCTAACTTAATCATCGGAGGCAAAACTCCACCCAACCGGAGTTTCCGTAGTTTGACGGTCGACGCACGTTCTTGAAATTGTAACTTTTCCGAGGGACTCCAAAAACCCCAAAACAGAAGTCATTATCAAGTCCCAATAAGGGATATCACTTCTTGCTATATCAATCGCCCTCATTGCTCTTCTAACAAGGCTTTAACATTGGAAGGGTCAAAATCTATAACGACCGAGCATATGCGGCCTACTTGTTCAAAGTCCTTTTTCTTGTTTAAAGCAAGCAGCTAAGTTAAGAAAAATATAGCAAGATAATTAGAAGGAAGAAATTAAATCTTCTTCCTCTCCAAGGACAAGCCTAGAAAGAATCACCCCTGCATACGCATATTTTTCTAATGCATTATCAAAATTCCCTTGTTTGATAAGAGTATTTCCTTCTTTCTCCATCTCCTTCACAAGATCCACCCATCCTTAGGACTTTAACTTACTTAGAAAGATATTCGATAAATGCTTCATCCTCCTCATTGAGATTTTCTCCTTTTGTAAGGAGTTGGTTGAGCTCTTCCCTAAGCTTATTGTACCCTTCCAAGGAACACATTAGGAAGTACTAACAAAATCCACCAACACACTTCTCCACAGACCCACTAAACTTGATTAAGCAAAACTCAAAAAGACCTTAATAACCCTGAAAACAAAGGAAAAACATAAGAAGTAGCTTTGCAGGGTAAAGGAAGTATAAAAACCTTAATTAAACCAAAATGTGATATCGGCCATCGGAGGATAGGGCAAGGCAAAGCTGCGGAGAAGATAACAAGTATGAAGATGATGGACTAGATCGAAGCTCCTTGGTACGTTGATGGGCTCGTGTGTGACCAAAGGAGCTGATGTGGTCGCCGGCAAGTTAATTTGCTTGGGAAGACTGTAGGTGGTTGGGCGTTGGTTTAGTATAGAGAGAGAGTTAAGTTGATTATCCTTGAAACCTTTTATTCTACCATATTAGAAAAAAAACAAAAAAAAAAAATTGTGTTGTCTTTTTGTTTCTAAGTGTCATGACTAGAACCCAATTCCTAGCAACTACAGCTGGGAAAGAGGCCTAGTCTTTTGTTTGATCATAGTTATTAACTAACAATGATTATAGTTAGTACTCTTCCTCGTAACAAGCAACGAGATCCATACTCATCTGTGGCCTACCTTTTCTTAAGTCTCCAAACTCTTATCCCCCACACCAAACACCCTATGTATTGGTCTTGGTCTTATAGCTACTACAGTGATTGCATGCAGTCAAACATATAGATCGTCTATAATATTCCGACTAGTTGGTACTCTCTTGTAGTGTTTAACGACAACGTGATAAGATTGGTCTTATCTATATCCTTCTATAGCCTATTTTTTTCAGGTCTCCAAACTCTTATTCCCACAAACCAAATAGGCAAACACCCTATATATAGTCCTTATAGCTACCACACAAATTGGTTAGATGAATTGACACATGAGATACATCATGTAGGGCTTATAGACCAAAACATCACACCTTAGAGCCAAAGTGCTAGTAAATTGATTTTAGTATTTAACCAAAACAGTTTTGAACTTTTGGTTATTTTTCCCAAGGCACCAATATATGTTGCCCAAATACCTAAAGCACTCTATACAAGAGAGCACCAGGCAAAATAAAAAATGAAACAACTAATACATGAACTCGTGATTGCGATCTACATATAGTGCCAGCAGACTCTGGCTGCAGCTCTCGCCAATCCTTATTATCAATAACTGGCATCTCACACGGAACAAAATTTATGCTTACTATATAGCATCAATCTCTACCTACATCAAAATCAAGGTCCCTTTCACTGAAAATATCGCGAGCTGTAATCCTTGCTTTGCATGAATTATATGGCAGCCACCAATGCCATGTGCTCAATCAGGTCCAAAACACGATTACTACAAGCAAACAAGAGCATGTTATCACTCGAGAAAACATTAAGCCATGATATTGACACAAGTGACTTGATGGGAGGATAAAAGACCATAAAGTTATACCTGTATCCCCATTCATTATCATACCAAGAAACCAGTTTCACAAAAGAGGAACTCAGCGCAATCCCAGCCTTGGCATCAAATATGCTTGATCTGGAACAATGGCAGAAGTATGGTAGTTAGGCAAAGTGATACTCAACTTGAGAATCTATATATGCTACCAAAGTTCAGAGTTAAGAATTCAAATATTTGCACTTCACAAAGTTCAGATAAATAACAAAACAGGATGGTTACTCAAAACATTATATCTCATAAAGTATGAGAATACATTTGGTATGTTTTGCACGTATGAAAGATTTGATTCAACAAAATTTCAGGAAAAGGAATAAACGGATACATTTGAACATTGCACTAAATTAAAAGAAGATTGGACCTACCTTGAATCACCAGTAAAATCATTTGAGACAACATCATCATCTGTATATCCAAGAATACCTTTCAATGGACCCTCTGAAGCAAACCTGTGATACAAACAAAACAGGTGATGAATACACAAAATTAAAACATAGTCAGTAAGAGGGCGAGCAACAAAAGATCCTATTACATAATCAGATAACATACTTGATGGCAGCTTTAACCTCTTCGTAGCTAGCATCTTTTTGAAGTCGGCAAGTCAAATCCACAACAGACACATTCGGTGTTGGAACACGGAATGCCATTCCAGTAAGTTTTCCATTGAGTTCAGGAAGGACTTTTCCAACAGCCTATGTAGTATGTACATTTGAATCACTTTAATAAAGATGAAAAACTGCTAATGCTATAATAGTGTACATATGAATATATACAGTTTTTATCTGCCATAACCGTAGTATAATTATTTTACCATGTTAATTCTTGAGCACATTTTATTTTATGAATGCTAGCACATGAGTGCACTCCCATCTATTAAAAGTCTTGTAACAATATAAGTACTTCAGAAAATATTTTTCCAGATAAGTAGTAGAAAAACAATGTTGCAGAAAACTATATTAAAAAAAATATTTCTTTATTGGAATTATGCAGCTTCACAAATTATACTTATTATAACTAAATAGACCTATTGCAATTTTGACACAAACATTCAACGAAATCTCATCACATTGGAGCATATGGTTTAGTTTGATATTGTAATTGCACTTATATGTAGACAAAATAATATGAACACCGGTAAAATGAAGTGTTCAGACTTTAGATCATTTAAGCAAATTACACTTGATTTCTGAATTGCTGATTCTATACCTTCGCAGCACCAGTAGAGCTAGGGATAATGTTTTGACTAGCTCCACGGCCTCCTCGCCAGTCCTTCATTGATGGCCCATCAACAGTTTTCTGAGTTGCTGAAATCCAAAATCTAGTGTCATCAAAGCTGTCAAAGATATAACCAAGTTCTATGCTCTAAGGATGCAGGCATGAGCACATGCTTTCCTTTGGAGGAGGGAGCATTAAAAGAAGCTTAGAAAGAGAACCTGTAGTAGCATGGACTGTTGTCATCAGACCTTCAGCAATGCCAAACTCTTCATGTACAACCTGCACCAAAACAGCATGAAGAGAAAATGAAAATCTAGTTCTAAAAAATCACAACAAAGCAGCTGGGTCAACGCTACAATTATTCAGACAGATCCTATGCAGCAACTGCTGGTTGGTCATAACTTCAAATGACATTGGATTAGATGATTTTCAGACATTAAAATAAATCAAATCACATCAGAATAGATTTATGAGAAAAATCTTATTAGTGGAACTACAATTAAGACAACTGCAGGTGAACTTTACATAAACTTCACTAGTTCAAACTATAATTTTAAGCATTTGTAGTATGTTCTAATGCTATGTACTATTCTTATCTTTATTGGTTTCCATTTCAATGTCAATGTGACCTTATTTATGCTTGTCAACCTACTTTTATAATCAAATTGTATGTAATTCATTTACACTAATGCTTAAATTTGCTGGTGCTACATCATTTACGTTAGCGTAAGTGTTTGATCTTTCCTTTTAAATTAATTGAAAGAGAATTGTGAAACTAAGCCTTGTCAAACGTTTTTCAAAAATATAAATGATGTACTTTCCAAAGAAAGTAATAGAGAAGAGGATTTGATTAACTTGGATGTCTATAAATGAAGAGTACTTTACAAGCATGATTTCATGATGATAAGATAACCAAAACAAGTCAAGCATAACATATATATTTTTAAAGGGTAACAAGATTTGTCAGCAAAGAAGTAAATAAAAAATAGATATTAAATTACACCTTTGCCAATGGAGCTAGACAATTGGTGGTGCAGCTTGCATTAGAGACAACATCCATATTTGGCTTGTATGTTTTTTCATTTACACCTATAACGAACATCGGTGCATCCGCTGATGGAGCTGAAATAATCACCTTTCTAGCACCTCCCTGCAGAACAGCTCTTAATAGATCAGTCACAGCACAGTTCAGTATCAGACATGAGATCAAGCAAGAGTAGAGAGCAGACCTTCTTGTGCGCAGCAGCTTTTTCCAATGTTGTGAAAACACCAGAAGATTCAACAACATACTCGACGCCAAAATCACCCCATGGAATATCCTCAGGGTTCCTGTACATCAGCAACACATTAGATAGTAGGAAAGAGGTAAAACCGTACAGGAAAGATGTTCCTGTACATCATCCAAATTAATACATACCTTTTGCTTGTAACTTTAACCTGCTTTCCATTGATTTCAAGAGTTGAATCATCCAAGACTTTAATGGTTCCCTTGAACAGTCCATGTGTTGAGTCATACTTGAACATATATGCCTGAATAATAGGAATATTTAATTATACTTTTCAAGATGATAAGCAAGACTTATGAAGCAAATCTTCTGTAAAACATACAGAAACAAACTTTCCTACCATGTATTTGGCATCAATGAAAGGGTCGTTCACTGCCACCACTTCCAAATCATCCCTAGAAGTTGCTACCCGTAAGACAAGCCTTCCAATCCGACCGAAGCCTTCATTATTACAGATTAAAATAATTTATCTGATCATTTAACAATCAACCAGTAAAGAGATTCTACAATATGTTTCCAGCTTTTTTAAAACAACAATGCTCAAAATCTTATAAGATTATATATAGACAACCAAACACATATATCAAATTGTCACCATATAATGCAGCTCAAAAGCTCTTAATTGGAGGACAAAGGGCATATAAGCTTCCATTATAAAATATACAAAACTGTATACAGAACTGAGCTGAGCTCAATGATTCATGACACACAAGAAGATTGGTTTCCACATCAACCAGCTACCTTCACAACAGTCGTTCTCTACGTGGTAAGTCAATTCTGTTTCCAAACTAGCCACAGCAATGATAGCAACAATTGAAATTTAACATAATAATATTTAGGACAAAAACCAAATCAAGTAAATACTATAAGGGATACACTCTCAGTATTACGTTTTTCTGTTTAAGTTTTGGTTGTGTGGAGTTGATGAGAGGCAAAATAAGTAGGACCAACTGTAGTGAATGTGAGAGTAAAGTGGTAATCTCTCATAATCATTTAGAATATGGGGGAAACTTAAAGGGGAAATGGGACGAACAACAGGGGGCAGAAGGAAGATTTGTCCACTTTAATACTATTTTACAACAAATGGATATTTAATCTGAAAAAAAAAATAACAACCCATTCTTCAAAGAATAACAATCAAGTCAACCATACACAATCCAAACAATCTTCCAGAGTTAATCAGTTTTGAATTTAGCTGTGCATGTTCATGAGGAAGAGAGCAGAGCATAAACACTTTTATGGTTAGACCATTAGAAATCCCCTACTCGAAATAATTCCAATCTAGACGCAAAAAGTTCTATCAATCCTCTGAATGAACATGCAACATTTTGCAATTGCCATCAAGGTGAAAACATTAGCTAAGTTTTGAGATTTTGCTCGTAAAATTTACAAAGGACCTTTACAACATAATGCTCTCTAAGTATCTGAAGAAGAATTTCCATATGTTAGGCTTTCACAAGAAAAGAATTGTTGGCTTATCAAACATATTTATAACCTAAGCCCTAAAGATCAAGCTTATTCAAATGCTTTTCTACACATTGTTTCACATTATATTTTTTTTTTATTATTTATTTAATTATTTATTTATTTTTATTTTTATTTTTGTAATCCTCAACCCTTTAATGGTGACACAATGCAAGCAGATAAACGGAAGTCTAACTTCAACAACAATTTGTAAACAATCTTTCATAACATTAAGGATTGCAATTCAAGTCTAAAAACAAATGATAGAAAACATACCATTGATTCCAACCTTAGTTTTGCCACCACTCTTCGAATCTATATTGAACAAAACCAGTAAACTATATCAGGATTATCAGCTATAGTAGATATAATTAGCTATAGTGGATAATTCAGTTACACAAAAACAGAAAGAGTGGCCACGCACTTTTGACTGCTGGTGGGATTTCAGTAGCTGTTGCTTTGATCGGCTGCATGCTCGTAGACCTACATTTCCTGCATCTAGTACGGAAAATTTCAATACTAAAGTCATATATAACAAGCGCAGATTACACCTAAAAATTATGCACCTACCTAACACCCTACCTCTAGGCCAAAAAAAAATATATCATCATTCTTTCGACAAATCAGATACATTTTCCCTAAGTCTTGAACATCAGCATGATTAACATTTTGTGTGTTTGCTTAGCCAAAAATGTAAGCGGCACGCATAAATATTCGATAATTAGTCTCATATTAGATCAATAAGATGATATAAAGTAAACAGAGGAATCTGATATATTTTGCTGCTTCTTTGCTTTTGATTAGTTTCACAGACTAATAAGTAATAACTTAATCCAAAATTTTCTATTGAATAATTTTATAATTTGGCATTTTTTCCATCTATAATATATCGAAAGCAATCTTTAAATAAAATACTAACGTACATACAAATATCACTCTGTTATTTAATAAAATGGACGCACAAATATCAAATGTCATATAAATTATTTCTCCGAAAATAAATTAAATTCACCAAAAAATAAAATATAAAAATGACAGGAAAAAATTTAAGGTAGTAGATTTTGAACCGGATAGAAGAAGAGCCGCCATTAACAGCAGTGCCGAGATCATTAGATTGAATCTTCAATGAGCTAACATTCTGATTTGAACCATTGAAAAACACCTGAAATTCAACAAAATTTAACAAAAAAATTAAGAATCAATCAAGAACTCTATCAATGAAACGTAAACTAACATTGTAAGAAAATTAAAATTCAACAAAAACAAAAATAATATAAAAGAAAATAAAGAAAACCTTGGAAATATCGGAAGAAGGAGAAAAGGAGGAGAAATCAAAGAAGGAAGAAGAAGGAGCAGATCGTAGAAGAGAAGAATGAGCCGCCATTGTTGTAGCTTAGTTGTTACTCTTTGAATCAGTTAACAGAGGAGTTGGAGGCAAGAGAGAGGGAAAAACCCTAGAAAAAGGAGTTTCTGAATACGGCAAAAGGCGAAAAAAAAGAGAAATATGTGAAGTATTGACTGGCTTCTCGAGATTTTGGAACTCTAGTGAATTGAAAAATGGGAAAAATGGAGAGAGAAAGGTGTAGTTTAAAGCTTAAAGAGGGGAGATGCTCTGAGAAATGAGAAGCCACCTTTGTTTATTATTATATTGGTAAGAGAGGGAGTGCGTAGGTGGGCAGCTGTAAGTGTGACGTGCGGGAAAGAAATTATTATAAGTAGCCGTGGAGCCCTCATTAAGGCATATGCATTCAACTTCGGCAGCACCAAGGCATTCGTAGGAGAAGTTGAAGCGCATTGTTAAGGAGTCCAACTAGCGTTTTATCAAGGTGTTTGTAAAATTCAAATTGAAGGTGATAATCTATTATCTACTGGTTATCAACATAATTTAACGAATCTGGACATTCTTCATGCCATATTGAGCGCATTGTTGAGGACACTTGTAACATTGTTAATAAGGTTTGACAGTTCGATTTCGGCTTAGGTTGAAATAATTTCGATTTGAAACGATTCGGGATGGAACGAACTTATTGTGCTTGCGGGTCGGGTTAGTTTCATTCTGATTGTTTATGGATCAGTTCGGATTCGGTTTATTTTTGTGCGGTTTTCATTCGGTTCGGGTCGTAAACGGTTCAAGTCGTGATCGACATTGGTCTAATACAATTCGAGTTAGGAGCGGATTTACTTAGGTCGATGCGGTTTCAAGTTTATATCGGTGTGGGTTATAATCTGTTTGATGCTTAAATGGATCGGGTTAATTAGGTAGTGGGTCAAATTAGATCGGTAGAAACAGGTTCATATTGTTGGTAGGACAATTTGGATTGGTGAAAAAATAATGGGTCGCATCAATTTGGTTAAATTATGGTCGGGTGGTAATCGGATTCTAATTAAGTGGTTTTGGTGGGTTATAGTGGGTTTGGTTTCATATCGAGTCAGGATTTAAACATGTTAATTCATTCAGGTATTAGATTACATATATAATGTTTTTGGGGTTTTTTGGATGTCTGTTGGGAAAGTTACAACACGGAATATGTACGCTGCACCTGCAAAACAACGAAAGATCAGGTTTATCGGAGTTTTGCCTCCAAAGAATAAGTTAGTACCGGAATGAGCACTAGTAGAAAGAGGGAAATGCGCACCAGTTCAAAACAAGCTTTTCGCACCAGTTTTGAACCGGTTTAGATTTGAGGGATGCCAAAAAGTGAAGGTATTCGCACCGGTTCAAAACCAGTGGTAATAACAGGTATTAGCACCGGTTAACGTGTTATTCGCATCGGTTCAGTTCAAAACCGGTTCCCTTAATGCCCCAAAAAAATAAAAAAATAAATTTTTTTTTTTTTTTTGCATTTTTTCACTTAAATTGATATATAAACACTAACATATATATTAAGTTACATATTTTCATTAAAAAAGGCTGTAATAATCCAATTTTCGTCCAAAAAAAACAACAATACAAGGTTACACACAAATAAAATAAAATAAAATAAAATTCTATTACAAAAACAAGCTTTACAGAGCAAAAGTAGCAGCAGCAGCTCTAGTAGAGCAAAAGTAGCAGCTGTCTTTATCAACTAGGCAACAGAATGTTATAACCAACATTCCGAGCAAAAAATAAGGGTATTTACAGATGATGAGATGAGGATCAAATACAAAAACATCCCAATTGAGCCAAATAGAGGAACTATTCCAAAATCTAGTTTAAAAAACAAGCTTTGTTCCTCTTCATCTTGGAAATAAAATTGACTTTATGCCTGATCAAAATTGAGCTCCCACAATTCTTAATTACAGTGACAAAAGACAGTAAAATATATATATATATAATGAAGCGAAGATATGACATAGCTACAAAGTGTACTAGATGGCTTTCCAAGATCTTGTAATCCTCCATCCAAAAACCAATGTCGCAGAATGACTAGTGAGTTATTTTTTCCATGGCTTTACAGAGAGAACAATAATTTATATGATGATGAGAAGTATAATGATGGCAAAGCAAGTCCATTTGAACCGGTACAGCAGCTCACCCTCCATTGTACCAGCAGCAACTCTAGCAGAGCAAAAGTAGCAGGGGTGCACTTTAGGCAATAGCAGGGAAGCTAGGCAGAAGGTCAAGTCATTCAATAAAGGCAAAAACACGGACTATAAAAATTCACACCAGCAACAACAAAGTGGCAGCATCGAATAGCAATTTTACATCCCACACACAAGCTAAGCAGCAGGCCACACACCACACAAAGAAGAAACATAAGCAGTAGCAGGAACACTTTACCCACAATAAAACGCAGCAACAAGCAGCAAAATAAGCAACACACAGCACCCAACACACACTAAGTCACCACGAGACACAACACCATACATTCAACACCCAACAAAATGAAGAGTTTTCATGCAGCCAAATTTAGCTATTCATAGAGCATAAACTTATTCATATCATTACAAAGGACATGTTCCTCTACTAGAATGACAATCATTATTTATCAAATCGAAGAGCAAAATAATCACAAAAAAAAAAGTAAATAAAAATCAGAAACCATATCCGTGCATCATACCTTATGATATGAGGATTGGGCATATAGACTCATAGTAGGGAAACTTCTGAGCTGAGGTTTAGTATGTGGAGCTAGCTGCATCAGCAGCCTCGGCAGGGCAACAGTAGCTGCAACCTTGCTAGGCCAGCTACAACAGCAGCCTCGGCAGGGAAGAAGTAGCTGCATCCCTGCCAGGTCAGCTGCAACAGTAACCTCGGCAGGGCAGCAGTAGCTGCATCCTTTCCAGGCCAGCTGCAGCAGCAACCTTGCTAGGCCAGCTACAACAGCAGCCTCGGCAGGGAAGCAGTAGCTGCAACAGCAGCCTCGACAGGGCAGCAGTATCTGCACCCTTTCCAGGCCAGATGCAGCAGCAGCCTCGGCAGGGCAGCCTCAACACCAAAGCACAATCACAACCGTAATTTCAATTTAAGGTACAAGGCAGCCTCCACACCAAAGCACAATCACACCACACATCACAACAGCTCCAATTCACAAGCAAATGAGTTGCAGGCCCCATAACCATATGAAGTTACATCCAAAATTATTAACAAAATCACATTAGATACTACTATACTCACAAAACCATTACAAACAAAATAGGGCACATGAGTGCAAAATAAAATACATTTCATGAGCATTCAGATTAGCAAAGATAATTAAAAGCTCATACAAAAGGAAAGCTAAAGAACCAAGAATCCTGCCTTCATTACAACTTGCCGCAACCCACAACGCCAACACCTAACCGCATAAACCTCCAAGACTAGCAGCAATTTCGAACAATAATACATAAATTAAATCCAAAAAAATCAAGGCATTTAACATGGATAATTGGACCAAAATGCAAAGCTAAAGAACCCAGAAACCCTAACCTCGAATTTGTGATTTTTGAATCGATTATTGATTCAAGTTTTTTGTTGTTGTTGTATTTGGTACAAATTGACGGCGGCGGCGATGGTGGTTGTGCTTGGTTCTAATGACACCAATTTCCGACGGAGGGCAGCGGTGGCCGATTGATGCTTGCATGGTTCGAATTGGCGTCGGCGATGGTGGTTGTGCTTGGTTCCATAAGAGGAAGAAGAACGATGGTGGTTGTTGAGAAGTAGGTGGTTGTGCGATGGTAGTTGTTGAGAAGAGGAAGAAGACTGAGAGATGAGCAGAGGAAGAAGAACTAGAGATGAGAGAGAAAGAGAGAACAAAAGATGAGAGAGAAAGAGAAAGGACAAGATAGGCGGATGTAAGAGAGAAAGGGGGTAAAGGGTTTTTTCGCACCGGTTCTTAATAACCGGTGCTATTAACTCAAGTTCGCACCGGTTCGGTTTGAAATGATGTGATTACTCTTTAATCAACTCCTGCCTTGTTTTTTTCACATCGGTTCTTAATAACCGGTTCTCATTCTCGGTGCTCATTTATGTTTTTCTACTAATGGAGTGTAGTAAAAGTTGAGTAATTTTTCTCTGTTTTCGTATAAATATATTAATTATGTATTGAATGTGTCATAATCTGATCGTTCACCCCTAATATGACACGTTCCCTCCCAGTTATATGATCAACGGGATCAGTCGGTTAGAGAGCGGGGCTAATGCGGCCAGATGAAGAAGACTGGCGCCTACTAAAACAAAAGGGAGTAAATGATGAAGACTAAAAAAACGATTTAAGGTGGCATTGTCCACGGAGAAACCACCCCAAAGCCAAGTCACTATGCTATCTCCTACTACAGGCGACAACTTGGCTAAGCCCAGTTTAAGAGCTTACTATAGTATAAAAATTCCATCCTATACTTTTCTCCCTAGGAAGTCTTCGAGGCAAAAGAGTGAAAGTGGGAATCGGCATAGGGCGCTGTAAAGGCCATTCTTTAAAAAAGAAAGGTGAAGTCCGAGGGCTAGGTTTGCAAGAACTATAAATAAAGGACCAAGATCTCCTATGAAATATAAAAGATCATTCATACATAGCATAGTCCAAGCGAACCCACTTAAAATCTTTACTGAACTATGACCGGCCATCAGAATGCCGGGCTCTTTCTTTCACTGCTAACCTCATTTTATTAATTTAATGCTTCCATTTTTTCTTTCATTGTTCATTTATGAATAATATTTATAGTGTATTGGAGTGTGTGCCCTCTTAGGTTATTTTAACCTAAATAGATTGGTTGCTCCATTTTTACGGCTTCTTGGGAATTGGGCCTGAAGGCCGATTTACCCTACTGATTTGAGCACGTGACACGTGTCATGTCCTGATTGGCTCTTTGAGCACTTGTTTAGGGGGCACGTGTCACTACCCTATTGGTCCATGTGTCTAGGGTATTTTACCCTAAACATTTGCCTCTCATAGGGGGTGACGTGGACTCCCTTTTTTATTCTTCTCGGAGTTTGACCGTCTCTTTGCCTGTGCAGGACACTATGGCAAGAACAAAACAAAACTACCCCTGACTCTTCCTTTGAGGAAGACGACACACTTAGGGTACTGGCTGATGAAGTCTTTGCCCATCCCCCTAGTCAACCTAGTAAACCCGACTCTTCTATCTTGGAAGACTTTGGTGAAGTGTTGTCCGGCTCTGAACAAAGCACATCTTATGAGGAAATGGAAGTGGAAGGCCTTGATTTAAAAGGC